TCCATGACCATAATATCTACCTCCGTGTCCACCGTGGCTACTACCTTGTCCACTGTTGCCACTTCCATGACCATGGTATCTACCTCCGTGTCCACCGTGTCCACCGTGTCCACCGTACCTTGAGGTTGAGGTGTCAGCGTGGGCCAGGGTGACCACCAGCAGGCCAGCCACCACCACCATCATCATCTTCATCTGTAACATCAAACTCAGGCTTAATGACGGGTCACACCACAACTTCCATCATATTAACGGAGTGGAAATATTTCTACTTCATACACATAATGTTTCGATATACTGTAGGCATAGGAAAATATACATAGAGACTACTGGTATCCCTCCATTAGGTAATTTATGCACATCATTACTACTGGCTTGTCTTAACACAGCATCACCACCACCAACTGGTTTCAACACAGCATCAACTCCAGTTAATCTCACTACAGCAACATAACCAGTCAGACTCTACACAGCAGCTGTTCCCTGACTCCCTCAATAACAGCGGCTGTATCACTCACAGTTTGGGAGATCATGTTGGCTCACTACAGGTGTCCTACTGCCAGTAAGTCACAGCAGACAATGTCCATCATCACTCCCCACCACACCTTATATACCGTCAACACACCTCAGTGTCCCTGGCCGTCACCACTAATGACTGACACACACAGGCAACTCTCAACATTTCGAATACATGCTTGTGTGATTTTTAGTTTTAATGATCATAGGAAAGTGACCTTGATAACAGTGGAAGCGTTGACCTGTGGTACACCTGATGTCGTGTGATCGTTAGTGTTCTTACCTGAGTATAATCAATATGTAAAATAATCCCATGGAGGCGGCCTGGAGAGAGTTGAAATCTTGGTGATAGTAATGTCTGAAAATGGAACTCAGAAGTATATGAATGTACAGATATAGAGTATAAATGTACATAACTTTTTCTCTCGTTACTATCTGTATGTAATTTACTTTTATTATTAGGTGATGCTAAACGTAACATAAAAAAAACGTTTTAATAGATATCGTAGAATTAAAGCATGCAGACATTTTGGAGTACGTTATTATAACTACGTGAAATAAAATAGAACATCAACCAAGCAAAGTATAGTAACCCTTTCGCTGCATTTCCCACACTTGCCATTTTATTCTGGTTCCTGCCAGACGATTTTATTTAGCTTAGGGTAACCTCCCGCGGCCAAATGGTTAATGTGTGTGTGTGTGTGTGTGTGTGTGTGTGTGTGTGTGTTCTACTTCAGACATTTTATAATAATATGTGAGTCAATTGGACAATTATTAATAACACCGACAATGTTACAATATAAACACGGTAACATTATTGAAAACGGAATGCCGTGCTGCTAGAAGACTGTTTGAGAGCTTTATGGGTTAGAATACCGTAAGACACCCATATTCATACTTACATAGGGCGGCAAACCTCAGGTTTGCCGGAGTCGCAGAAAAAGCCACTGGAACTGGGAGTTATCCGAACGCAAAATTTCACGCCTGCTGAATGACCATTTTAAACTTCCTGAAGTACGGTTTGACCGTGTTCAACGCGTCGGGAAACCCAACTCCTCCCGCCCCAGCGACATCATCACAAAATTCTTATCCCCCTCTGACCGTGACAATGTGTTTTATCAACGCAGTGAGCTGAAAGGCACCACTATCTTCGTCAACGAGGATCTCTGCCCAGGTACGACTAAAGCCCGCCTACAGCAAATGGACCAGTTTAAAGAAGCCAGGACATAAGGGAAACACGTGACTTTCAGTCATAAAACCCTTGTTGTGAGGGATCGGGCAAGTGGACACCCGTCCACTCACCCACTCGCTGTACCAACCCCCTCCCCACTGAGGGGGAAACAGCCATTGTTGCTATCACCTGTTGAGTTCCCCCCCTCCCCATGCAGGCCAATTCGAGTGCTACACGTCTACCTTCTGTGGTGGAAACCAGCAACCCTCAAAACCAAGTGACAGGCGCCCCTCCCACTCAATCTTGGAATCACCCTCAACAGTACCGGTCATCTTAATTCTGTTGCTTGTAGCACTTGTGAGTAAGTTACCCTCCCACTATTATAATTTTCTTAGATCTTCCCTTTTCACACCTCAGTGACCCTGAGTTTTTACTGTTCCTTTATCAGTATCAATGTTCCTGCAATGATGATGCTAGTGTCATTCCCTTAGATAACAATAAAAATAATAATAATAATAATAATAATAAACGGTTTATTAATAGAGTTGCAGCCTGTGGCTGAAAATATAAAAACTTACATTTTATTTAGACATAATGATATGCGTTCAATACATTTACAGGGCTGTACCGTACATAAATCAGGAGTTGTTTATTATTATAACAATAGATGTTATTCTTATATCTATCGGTGCAGGCTCTTATGGACTGAATTTTGTTGCAGTGTCGGACTGCGCAAGGTGGGTGGGGGACTGCCGGTGGCAGGAGGTGGCGATGACGAGGATGGTGCAGTAGTCCACTGCCAAACCTTGCTAGTGCTTGGTGGTGGAGGTCACTAATGGATGGTATTTCCAGGGTGGAGAGAGCGTTGATGTAGCTGGAGTAGTCTGCACCGAGCATGATTCTGCAGGCCCTTTTCTGTACCTTCTCTAGCCGACGTTGTTGGGTGGACTTGAGAGAAGACGACCAGGCTGGTGACGCATACGATAGTTTGGGAAGAATAAAGGCGTTCTAGATAGTCCTCAGCTCTGACGTGGGTATCACAAGTGACCTAAGTCGTCGTAGCATGTAGAGTCGGTACGAGGCTCCCTTGATTCTGTTGTTTACATGGGCCTTCCAGTCCAGTTTGTGGTCTATGTGCGAGATCGTATGTGTTACACCCCCTTTACCCATGGTGTCGACACAATACTCCGTCATATCGATCCTGATGCCTTTCTACAGAACTCACTGGGTTACACCAACCCCAGCTGTAACTATTACTCTCCTGACTCTCCTGGGTTTAGTTCTAGTCTTCTACTACCTCATTCCTTCTCCTTGATTAGCCATAACATCAGCAGTATTCCCCTTCATCTAGATACCTTTTTAGATCAGTGCATATCTTCTATTCCCTAAAAATTTGATGTACTTGGATTCTGTGAGACCAAACTCACTAACGATATTGAACATTTGTATTACATTCCTAATTATAATAGACACTGCGTCAACAGGTCACGAGACAGTAGAGGTGTCGCCCTATAAGATGATATTAAGAATAACACCTCTGTAAGAGATGATTTAAAGGTTCAGGAGGAGTACATGGAGAGTGTTTTCACTGAATTGTGTAACGACACACGAAATATCCTAGTAGGAGTAATCTACAGAAGACCCCACACTAATGTAAGAAATTTTCTTGATAAATTTTCGGAGTTTATCTCTATCATAAGTCCAGAGAGAAAACTTTGCTACATTATAGGATATTTCAACCTTGATCTATTAGAATCAGAAAAGACACCTCAGTATTAGACCTTCTTGCTACCTGTCATTCTAAGCTCTTCCTCAACACTATAATCAAACCCACTAGAGCAGTGGTTCTCAAACTCGGGGTAATTACCCCAACTGGGGTAAAAACTACATTTTGTCTGGCGTAATATGCTTCTGTTGGCACGGTGGGGTAACCTCGTATTTAACACTTATATCACTTACGTTTGCCGCGTTTGGTAACTCGTGAAGTATTCGCCTCACTATAGAATAACAGCACTGTAACTGTAGCACTATTATTGATTCTTGTATAATACAGACTAGAATTGTACACTTGTGTTTTGTATAATACACTTTATTGGAGGAGTAAAATTTGTAAGTACATTTGTAAGCTTGTGTTTTGTATATTAAACTTTATTGAATAGAATTTAGGAGTAAAATTTTACGTTGTGGTAATTCGAACCTGTCAGACTTTAAATAGGGGTAAAACTGGAAAAAAGTTTAAGAACCACTGCTCTAGACCATGACGTGGCACCACTGACATGATTTTTGCTGCCCGTCAGATTACTGGAAAAGTGCAGAGAACAGCATCGTGACTTGTACATGGCCTTCATCAACCTTACCAAGGCTTGCGACTCGGTCAACAGGGAATCCCTCTGGTGGACCCTCAGCCGTTTTGGCTGTCCACCAAAATTCAATGCCATTGTGAGGCAACTCCACTATGGCATAAACAGCAGTGTCCTGCACAATGGCACCCAGTCTGAGTTATTCCACATCTAAACGGGGGTAAAACAAAGATGTGTGCTGACACCAACTCTCTTTTCTATTTTCTTGGTTGCCTTCCTTACTCGTGCCAGTGCCAATTTAGCCGGCGGGGTGAACATCGAGTACCGGATGAAGGGACTTTTCAACATAATACATCTCCAGGCAGGAGCAAAGGTATCGGAAGCTTCCATTTATGAACTGCAGTATGCAGACGACCTCACCCCTGTCGCTCACACTGAACGCGTCCTACAGGAAATCCTGAACACCTATGCAGATGCGTATGCACATTTCGGGATTGAGGTGAATGTATGTAAGACTCAGATTATCTTTCAACCGGCACCTAATTCAACCACACCTCCACCATCCATCCAGCTTAACGGTACTACCCTCTCTAATGTTACCCACTTTCATTATCTAGGCTTCCACCTGTCCACCACCGCGGACATCGATGAAGAGATTCAACATCGTATCAGATGTTCATCTCAAGCCTTTGGCAGACTCTGTACCCGTGTCTCCAGCTGGAGGGAGCTGAAATTATCCACAAAGTTACACGTATACCGAGGCCGTAGTACAGAGTGGGTTGTGTCCAAACTGTTCCAAACAGGATTTCATTCCCACTCGACTCTCAATTCCTTTTTCTGGTAAGACTCACATTTACTTACATTGTTTAGTGTGTAAGACACACCTTCTCTTATTCTAATTATTGAGGTTAGGTTGGTTTATGATTTAGGTTCAGTTAGGTTAGGTTAATTTAGGATAGGTTAGGTTTTTCTCTTAATAAAAAAAAATACTTCTCAGGTTAATATAAGAACAATAATTACTTCCTAATGTTTTATTGTGAAAAGTTTAGTCTGATGAACTCTTTAACTGATCTGTGAGAGAGTGAGAGAGAGAGAGGGGAAGTGGTATAAGAGTTACTTGTGGACAAAGACCTTTATTGAGTATATTACAGAGATGATAATATTACCTTAAGCTCTGATGATTGTTGTGTAGTGTAGAAACCGTCTTCTGTACACGTGGTTAACGATCATAAATACTGAAGCACCATACATCACGTATAGTATATACATCTTTACCTAATATAATATATAAATTAAGAATATTAAAACAAGATATATAACATTATTATTAGTGTTCTTATCATAACATTCTACTCGGAAATAATAACACTGGTAATCTTACTCAGCTGATTTAGTTATCGTACTCAATAACTCTCTAAGGGTTGACTCACCAGCACAGACATGACTCTATTTGCCGTAACCATATCCATGAGAGTAACCGCCTCCCGCCCCATGCCCCCCCGTAAGGTGGCTGACTGAATATACGCCACCGTGTCCTCCGTATAAACTTCCATAGCCGCTGCCGTAACCGTATCCACCGTAGCCTTGACCATGTCCACCATAGCCGTGACCATGTCCACCATAGCCATGACCATGTCCACCATAGCCATGACCATGTCCACCATAGCCATGACCATGTCCACTGTACCCGCTGCCATGTCCATAGTGTGAACCACCATGTCCACCGTGGCTGCTTCCATGTCCACTGTAGCCATTGCCATGACCATAGTATCTACCTCCGTGTCCACCGTGGCTACTGACTTGTCCACTGCTGCCACTTCCATGACCATAGTATCTACCTCCGTGTCCACCGTGGCTACTGCCTTGTCCACTGCTGCCACTTCCATGACCATAGTATCTACCTCCGTGTCCACCGTGGCTACTGCTTTGTCCACTGTTGCCACTTCCATGACCATAGTATCTACCTCCGTGTCCACCGTAACTCGTGTACCTTGAGGGTGAGGCGTCAGCGTGGGCCAGGGTGACCACCAGCAAGCCAGCCACCACCACCATCATCATCTTCATCTGTAACATCAAACTCAGGCTTAATGACGGATCACACCACAACTTCCTTAATAATAACTGAGTGGAAATATTTTTACTTCATACACATAATGTTTCGATATACTGTAGGGATAGGAAAATATACATAGAGACTACTGGTATTCCTCCATTAGGTAATTTATGCACATTATTACTACTGGCTTCTCTTAACACAGCATCACCACCACCAACTGGTTTCAACACAGCATCAACTCCAGTTAATCTCACTACCGCAACATAACCAGTCAGACTCTACACAGCAGCTGTTCCCTGACTCCCTCAATAACAGCGGCTGTATCACTCACAGTTTGGGAGATCATGTTGGCTCACTATAGGTGTCCTACTGCCAGTAAGTCACAGCAGACAATGTCCATCATCACTCCCCACCACACCTTATATACCGTCAACACACCTCAGTGTCCCTGGCCGTCACCACTAATGACTGACACACACAGGCAACTCTCAACATTTCGAATACATGGCTGTGTGACTTTTAGTTTTAATGATCATAGGAAAGTGACCTTGATAACAGTGGAAGCGTTGACCTGTGGTACACCTGATGTCGTGTGATCGTTCGTGGTCTTACCTGAGTATAATCAATATGTAAAATAATCCCATGGAGGCGGCCTGGAGAGAGTTGAAGAGATGTCTCAAAGTGGAAGTCCAAAAATATAAATGCTGTATCTACTGTATATGCAAAGTGTATATCTAAAGAGATCTTTTCTTCAGTCATTAACTTTATATAGAAAACCTTTATTAATATATAATACACCGCACAAAATAAAATTCACTTTGTTATACATGTTACTAATAAAACCTTCACCTTTTTTCTATAGTATATATTTATGCAACAATAATGAACAACTTGAATATCAATCAATGTTTAGCTGTGTGTTCAAAATTTGGAAAACCTGAAGATTATGCCCCAACTTATTTCACCTTAAGATAAAACACCCGAGCGATATCCTCACATAATTTCATAACCCCCGCCCAGGTAGCGCTGATGTTTAATTAATATTTATACCTTTAACTCAACATAGTTTACTGCACATACAGTAAATGAATAAATAGTAATTTCAGGGATTTAAATTTTCCATATATCTGAATTAAGTAACGGCGTTGTGTGACACCGGGTTTATTTATAGTGTAATGATGGAAACATGGAGAGTGAAAGCTGCTGAAACGACGTGTGTGTGTGTGTGTGTGTGTGTGTGTGTGTGTGTGTGTGTGTGTGTGAACAATTAGGTGGAGAGGTAGATGAAGACAAAGAAAGAAAGGCTTAGAGCAGTGGTTCTCAACCTTGTTTGCCCCATGCACCCCTTTCACCATATGTCAGAATGTCATTCCCCCCTCCTTTCCAAGATTGTCTGCCTCAAAAAGTGCATTCCAAATAATATGCATATAATACTGAAAATCCTTTATTTTTTCCATATTAGTACATATACATTTACAATTTTACATGGATTATTTTTATAGTGGAGTTTTACAAATTAAATGCCAATTGAAAATGTTGATGGATTTATAAAACTTGAATAAAAGAAAATAGTTTTTTATATTTATAATGAATTACTTAACAGACCAAACTGAAGCATAATGCAATAAACAAAAGTTCAATAGAATACCAGGATATTGTAAATTTGTAATTAATTTTATTCAGATGAAGATTACAGTCAATGAGAAACCTGTGATTGTTTTTTCTTCGCCAATTCTGGGATACGCGGAGGAGTGCTTGAAAGGGCACAACGCAGGTCATTTTCTACCTCTAATCTACTACGTTGCTTCGTTTTAATTTGCAACAGAGTTGAAAAGCCTGACTCACAAAGATATGTCGACACAAACGGAAGCAAGACACGGATAGCTCTTTCTGCCACTTTTGGGTAGGAATCGCACATCAAGGGCCAAAATTCTGTGATTGATTTCTCATCGAACATATCTCTTGCTCCCGAATCAGTTTCCCCTCCCCTGAAAACCTGAATTCCCCCCCTGGGGGGAATTCCCCCCTGGTTGAGAACCCCTGGCTTAGAAAATTGTAAACATTAGCTCTTCTCCACAGTGTGACCTACCCGCTGTCACTGATGCGTTGGTTACTAACTGACGTTCCTAGTCAGTGACCACCTGACTGTGCGCGACCACCTGACTGTAAGTGACCAATTGACTATATGAGTGACTATCTAACTATAATTGGCCATTTGCCTATGAATGACTCTCTGACTATAAGTGGCCATTTGACTATATGAGTGACCATCTGACTATAAGTGACCATTTGACTATATGAGTGAACGAACATCTAACTGTATGAGTGACCATCTGACTGTGAGTGACCAGCTGACTGCATGAGTGACCATCTGGCTGTGAGTAACCAACTGACTATGAGTGACCACCTAACTACTTACCTTCCAATTATAAAGACTGGCAGGATTACATTTATCTGTCTGTGTTGTGTTTGATGTCTCAGAAATAATCCGTCACCACGTATAACACCCACCCCCCTGTGTTGTCTTAAACTGTTGTGTTAAGTTGTAGTGTTGTGTTAAACTGTTGTGTTAAGTTATAGTGTTGTCTTAAACTGTTGTGTTAAGTTATAGTGTTGTGTTAAGTTGTAGTGTTGTGTTAAACTGTCGTGTTAAGTTATAGTGTTGTCTTAAACTGTTGTGTTAAGTTATAGTGTTGTGTTAAGTTATAGTGTTGTGTTAAACTGTTGTGTTAAGTTATAGTGTTGTGTTAAACTGTTGTGTTAAGTTATAGTGTTGTCTTAAACTGTTGTGTTAAGTTGTAGTGTTGTGCTAAACTGTCGTGTTAAGTTATAGTGTTGTCTTAAACTGTTGTGTTAAGTTATAGTGTTGTGCTAAACTGTCGTGTTAAGTTATAGTGTTGTCTTAAACTGTTGTGTTAAGTTATAGTGTTGTGTTAAGTTATAGTGTTGTGTTAAACTGTCGTGTTAAGTTATAGTGTTGTGTTAAACTGTTGTGTTAAGTTATAGTGTTGTGTTAAGTTATAGTGTTGTGTTAAACTGTTGTGTTAAGTTATAGTGTTGTGTTAAGTTATAGTGTTGTGTTAAACTGTTGTGTTAAGTTATAGTGTTGTGTTAAACTGTCGTGTTAAGTTATAGTGTTGTGTTAAACTGTTGTGTTAAGTTATAGTGTTGTGTTAAACTGTCGTGTTAAGTTATAGTGTTGTGTTAAGTTATAGTGTCGTGTTAAGTTATAGTGTTGTGTTAAACTGTTGTGTTAAGTTATAGTGTGTTAAACTGTGTGTTAAGTTATAGTGTTGTGTTAAACTGTCGTGTTAAGTTATAGTGTTGTGTTAAACTGTCGTGTTAAGTTATAGTGTTGTGTTAAGTTATAGTGTTGTGTTAAACTGTCGTATTAAGTTATAGTGTTGTGTTAAGTTATAGTGTTGTGTTAAACTGTCGTGTTCTTTGACTTAATGTGTGAGAACAATGTCAATTTCCTCTCTCATTAGCCGTTTTTTATTTAGTAATAATGTTGCGATTTTCTTGTATCTTTTTGTGTCTTATTAATAGTGTGTGTGTGTGTGTGTGTGTGTGTGTGTGTGTGTGTGTGTGTGTGTGTGTGTGTGTGTGTGTGTATCTATCTCCTAATAAACAAAACATCCCCAAAACTATTTATAAATCTGACAAACTTTCACCCAAAATAACAGAAACTTTTTCCTCTGACTCTTAACAAGCTATAAAATTGTCGTGTCTACAATGATACTTTTTATACTCTTAAAATATCTCACTGTTGGATAAAAATAGTTGACTCAGTGACCTGTCGGTGTTATTAGAGCTGAGGTGGTAGTGGCTGGATGATGATTGTATCTAAGATTAAAATCCCAACAGAAAATCCTAGTGCAAAATCCTAATATAAAATGGAAGCATAAATTCAAGCATTAAATCCCAGAGTAATACCTTCAGTGTAAATTCACAGCTATATGTTGCAGTGTAAGATTTCGGCATAAAATCACAGTGTAAAATTCCACAGAAAGAGAGAGAAAGGAGAGAGAGAACGAAAGAGAAATAGAGAGAGAAAAGAAAATGAAAGAAAGACAAAAACATATAGACTGACAGACAGAGACACGGACAAACACACAGACAGACAGATAAACAAAGACAGACAGACAGACAGAGAAAGAGAGAGAGACAGAGAGACAGAATGACTGGAAGATTTAGAATGTCAAAAGAGAGAATAATATGGAACAAGGATACATAAGTTGAATGTATTAATAGATTTTATTATATAAGTCAGACACTTCATACAAAAATGATATTACAGAAACTAAACCACATAAAAAAAAAAGAGAGAAAGTATGGGTATTAAAGTTTTCGTTTGGAGGCTATTCTATTTCTGTAAGACTGATAGGTGGAGGTCTATCAGAAGGCATTTTTAGCAATAGACAATTCAAAAACTGATTCAATAGCTTAGGACAAGAATATATAGATGATGTACTTATAATTTTCATGTGGAAAAAATATATACAAAAAATATAAAACTGCTACCTTGAACAGAAAGGGCACTAAGAGTTGAAGGAAACGTAAAGAAGAGGGTAATAAGCAAAAGTGGATAAATTATTGACAAGAGAATGAGTGATAATTTTGTAAACTGTTCTGGAATGAGGAAAAAAGAAATGAACGAAAGAGGGAATTTATAGGAAAACAAGATATTGATGATAAAGGTGAGAATTTGTTTATGAGAGATAGATTATTGTTAATATATCATACCTGATAAGAATAAAAAATAAGTACAGATACACTGAAACGATAGACAAGGAAAATTTGATAAACTATTGTAAAGGAAAAACAACAGAACGATAACAAAACAGTAATCCAAGGAGCACATATCACAAAATAAACATTAATCTTAGGCTGGAAAAGAAATGAGGCATTAGTTGACGGAAAAGATTTTTTGTGTTTGCCCAAGATCACAAATGAACGACAGAAAATAGGAATTTGCCACTATTCTTTGTGTATTAAAGTACGGGAAGCGGGGTGAGGGAACGTACCTAAGCGTTCACTGCAAAGTAGAATAATTGTCTTAGATATGTGAGACTTGACAACTGCCAGCGTGCCAGGTGGGCCTTGATTGGCTGTACCGTTGGAGGGTTAACTAGCTTAGGATGGAGGGCTGAGGGCGTATACATTTGGGAATATGTGACCCGGCCATTGCTGACCCTCCCCAACGCCCTCCCTTCAACCCCTCCTTCCCACCGAGATATCAACATAACCCCGTTAAAAGTGAGAAGTTCGTATAGGAATGAAGTGGGATCATTGTTGAACAGTGTTTAAGCCAGTGAATTCAGCACCAGATAGTACCAGCGAGAGCCGTCGATATTGATATTGAAACAGTTTATTTAGCCATAAAAATA